CCCCCACCCCACCCCCACAAGGCATAAATCCAGTATTTGAAGTAAATGCAGCCAAATGGCTTCATAGTAACTCGTAAATCCCAGATTTATCCAATTCAGGATTTATTAGTGGCTGGAGCTGGATTTGGGAAAATTGCTGATTGCAGTAAGACCTCTTTGAGGAACCCTTCTTTGTCACCATCTGTGATAACCATTCTCTTTGGCTGGAGCAATTACTGCCAGTTCAAAGTCTCTGAACTTTATTCCATTATGGCTTTGCTTGATATATATAAAAGAAATATCATTTTTTTTTACCTCATGCCATTCTTGAAGTGATTCTGTCGTGGATGTTGTTTGGATCTTGTTCTTGTCATCACAAATACATTGTTCTTGTCATCTTAAACTCTCCTAATGAGAACCACAAATATATGATCAAACATGACAGTTCTAATTATGTATGGGCAACGCTCGGCGCATGTTAAAATCACACTTCCAATATTCATGCATAAGAAGAAATAACATTATTAATTAATATTGTTTTTACACCTATATAGGGCATTATTGGATAAATTGATTAAAGCTTATCGCAGTTAGAAAATGGAATCACAGAGATTTAAGCTCCTACTTTTATATAACACTAAAATTAATAAATAGCTCTTTCGATGGGAATATCATTGGTAAACTAACAATACTCAGACAAATTTTGATCTTCCAAATATGGTCCTTGTTCATGGTTGGATTTTTCTTTCTAATTGCAATTGAAGATTTTGAACATTAGGTGCCTTATTACTCATTTGGAGAAGAATTGAACATCCAAAATAGAAATAAAAGGATACAAGCATTAACTTATTAGTATCCCAAAAAACTCATCATAGTGACAATGAAAGGCCACAAAGATTACTTCTAATTTTACTATGGAAAGTGTCACCAACATTATTTCTTTTCGGTATAATCCAGTATGAACCGATTAGAAGATGATTTATTCCGTTGGAGAATCAATTGCATGCAAAATTGTATCTATCTTAACAAGTGTAAATCAGGTAGAAGCTTGTATATATACAAATATGAAAAAAAACATTGTGCCGCATACCGCGGCATGTTGGTTGGCATCCACGGTATAAGACCCCTCAGGTCGGGGGTTCGAATCCCCTTTGGCACAGTTGGCCTTAAGAAGGTGGTATTCGAATTGTTAGACACATTAGGGGTGACTGGAGGCTTGTATAATAGCCTCTAGTCATTCCTTTAAAAAATATATATGAAAAAAAACATGCTTGGTGGACAATTTAGGCCTACTTGAGCAAGTTATTTGAACTCTAATGGCTTTCATGAAAAAAATTATCCAATTGGATTTAAATTCTTTTAATGATATCTATATTAAGGTTAATAAAATATTTTATTGATTTTAGTAAAAAAACTCCTTTGATTATTTAAAAGGAAAAAAGTAGAGGCTTGCTGCAGCAAAGGCAAAAAAAAGGGGTTCTCGGATTTCATAGAATCCATAGTAAATGCAGTTCTGACGTACACAACAGAATGACCACTAGTAGAAGCTGGCCATATTCAACAAAAAAATCATAGATGTGGAAAGCTCTTAGACTTGAATTAATTCTGACATGAGATCGTGTTTAAAAAGAACTTTCTTCTATGAATGCCACACTTTACCTGTAGAGCAGAAAGATATGATTTGGACCTATGACAATTGCTTTAATTACCTAGACAATTAAAGAGAAGGTTCACACGCAGAGATGGGAAAGAATGGTCGTGCAAAGATTTCTTGCTACATGAAAAAATTCCCATAAATTTAGTTCATGTTGTGATATTATACATCATAAATTTCAGCTAAATTTGACAACTTAGAGTAATATCGAATTTTACAAATTTGGGTGCTATTAGGTACTAGCGAGGCATTTGGCAGGATTTACTCCAAATCTATAATTTAGAAAGGATAAAGGATTTCCAAACATCTAGTTTTTCTCTTAGAATGGCTTGAACGGATCGAATATGCAAAAATAATGCATAATATTTGGTAATATGTAATTTTGCAAGCTTCCAGGTGATAACATGGAAGTTTATCTAAATCTTATTGTAGCTAATTAAGTTGGATGCATTAGGTTTACTGTGAATCCTCAGCGGAGGATTAAACAACATAATGGGGAGAAGAGGTGTGGTGCCTGGAGGACAAAACGTGGACGGCCATGGGAGATGGTTCTATGCATTTATGGATTTCAATCTAATATTTCTGCTCTTCAGGTGATTTACTGTGTAACTCCTATTCTATTACATTATGTCGAAGCCTATGAGTTTTTTTGTTGAATTCATTTTTGCATGTATGAATGCACTGCAGGCAAAGGCTTGATAACTCACATGAAATCATATTTATTTTCTTTATTGAAGTACACCCACTCAATTTGAATATTTGAGATCAATTTTTGAAATGCTTCATATCTCATTGAGGATACATAAATTTAGATAGGGGCATATACATACATAGCCCACTATTCTTATATATTTACACGACTCACACCTAAACTTTCATATTTGCACTCATAGTTCTCAAATGTTTAATATCACACAAAAAATAGCACCATCACCATTTTTAAAAGTGAAATACACTTTTCATGCGTAGGTTTAAACCACCAAAATGCTATGTACGTAAATATTTAGGTGTGAGATATGTAAATACATAAGCATTATGTGCTACCGCCTACCTCTGTAAATTTCCCAATTAGAATTTTTTATTCTATCTAATTTCTTATTTCAAGTGCCTCGTGTCCTTTGCCCAACATTACACTATTCACTTCTAAGAAAGTCCAATGATATATTGAAGTTTTTCTGATTTTTGGTTAGTATTAAATTAGTTTAGAGCATCAATGTATATAGCTTGATTCATATGCTAGCATTATAAATGCTATCTTTGCTTGAAGTATTGACATTGGATAATATGAATAAATGATAAACTTATATAAAATTATATGATTATTGATCATAATGAATAACAGTTAAAATAAAATGTATGAGCATCTATGGGAAGTAGACAATTGTGCCATGGAAGATGGCCAATCATTTTACCATACAAACAGAAGGCCATTAAGTATCTCAAGAAATCAAACAAGAACAGCTGGTTAAAGACCAAAATTCGCCCAAAAAGTTCAGCAAAAACCTATGTGCAAGCAGGTGGAATTCATTCTCCTATGCGTTGTATTGCCAGACTTCAGTTCCATGCAATCAATTGTGGGATAGTGACTCCATGTCTGATCTGCCGCCACTATAGTACTGCTATAAATTCTAATCCTACTATGGTGAAATACCTAATCCAGTTATTCAACTTGATATTTTATGACATATTTTCTTAGTATCTTTATGAGCATGCATTAAATTCACCATAAGAACAGTATTCCGATTTGCATGAAATCAGAAGCGTTACCATACAATTTGTAAGGCATTGTAATTTTATTGGAATGATTTTGCATCAAATGAATCATTTAAATTGATTTCCCTTTTCTTTTGAATGTACCCTTTCCCGTGGTTGTCCTGATCATATTTATTAAGTAGAAGTGTGAGCACAATAAAGTGGATACCTTCATAAAATAACTTCTAGAACTTTTGATGAGATATAAATTACTAGTTATTGTGCTGTGGTAAAGCTCAATTAATGTGTCAGATAACTAGCACTATATTTCATTTGATTATGAATTAACATATTTTTTGTTCACAATGTCAATAAGGAAATGTAAATCTCCGTTTTACTAGGAGGCATCAATTAAGTGGTTAGTTCATTCTTTGGCATCAGGAAAACACCATAGTGAAGGATGAACAAATGTGTGCGTGCCTATTACTCCATCAAACCTCTCAATAAATGTATAGCTTCCATAGTAGACCTGCTCGATATAAATCCAAATTTATTATGAGAAATCTTTGTAATGCGTCTTAACCTATGTTCAATTACACTCTCCCATAATTTTGAAGTATGACACATCAATTTAATTCCTCTATAATTTGCACACTCTTGTGCATCCTCTTTATTCTTAAAAATGGGGACCAAAATACTCTTCCTCCACTCATCAGACATTTTTTTTATTTTTTAAAATAATATTAAAGAGTTTAGTAAGCCAAGGAACTCCCAAATCTCCTAAATATTTCTACACTTCAATTGGGATATCATTAGGTTCTACAGACTTTCCACCCTTGGTTTTCTTGAAAGCCTCCCAACTTCTTTTTAACTAATGCAATGTAAAAATGAAACGTTTTGTTATTATTAATGATATTAAGATGACTAAGGTTGATTGTATTTTCAAACTTCATTAAAAGTTTATCAAAATAATCACCCACCTATTTTGAATATCTTTAATACACTTTACTTGAGTTAAGTCTTTACTTAACTTTTCTCTTTGTTTGGCTAGTTTATACATATATTTTTAACACTCCTTAGTTTCTAAGCTATTATAAAGATCACTAAAAGTATAATTTTTAGCATCATAGATCCCTGCGGGCCGTTTGATAATTTTCCTAGTTTTCTAAGCTTTTACATTTAAACTAATTTTTATAACATATCTTCTTATATTTTATTATTTCTTGCACATTATTATTCCACCACCAACTATTTTATTTATAGAAACTTTTTTTTTTATTCTCCAAGTCTTTTTTTTTTTTTTTTTTATTCTCCAAGTTCCTCTTTATACAACTATAAGGGCAATATTGTAAATATAATAGAAAACGAGAAGGCACAACCGTTCAAAATATTCTACGCAAAGTAACTTGTGCTAAATATACTAACGGTAGAGAAAAATGTTTATGTAAATATAAACACACCCACCTTGCAACATCTATGGTAACCAGATCATACAGTTCAACAGACTTCAAAGATGAAAACAAAGTATAATTACAATCCCTCATAAAAGAGGCCATGAATTTTGATATTGGAGTGAGAATTTGAAAAATGGATGAAAGAGGGTGGTTGATTTGTAATTAGCAAGTTTGGGGTGGTCTGTATGCAATTGCCACTATAATTTCTTACATAGGTCTCCATTCGACAAAAAAGTTTCAAAATTCTAAATAGAAGTAGATGCTAACAGCATAAACAACAAGTGCTTCAAAATGAATTATTAAAAGCTACAGAACTGAAGTCTGAAGCAAATGCAAGATACTAAACATTGACGAAGCATCAGAAAAGTATATGGGGATGTACCAGAAGCACAGAGACATGGAATGGCAGGGCAGCCATGATAGTTGTGCTTGCTTTATTGGTTCTTGAAGTAACTACATGGGATGAGTAGCGCAAAGACATGGATGGACCAGAAGCGCAGAAACATGGGCTGAGTAGCGGTTTCCTTCTCCAGGGATGAGCAACGGAGAGGTAGGAGCGGCTTCCTTCGGCAGTGGCTTCCTTCGGATTCCTTCGCCAGGGATTAGCATCGGCTTCCTTCGGCAGAGAGCAGCGGCTTCCTTCGGCAGAGCCCTAGGGGGATCGAGTTTGAGGGCAGGGGCGTAAATGCTTCGATCGAACGCTGGATCGTGGGGTTATACCCGCGATCCGCGTCTAATAGAAATAATAGAACGCTGTAAATCGGTGTTTTGGCCAATGCAAGCAAAACGTGTGAATCAAACACAAAGGCGGCGTTTTCAAAAACGTCGCCGCAGTTTTAAGCTGCCCCAAACAGACCCATAAATGGTGAGTGTATCACCCGCAACTGCTTTGCGCGTCTAATAGAAATAATAGAACGCTGTAAATCGGTGTTTTGGCCAATGCAAGCAAAACGTGTGAATCAAACACAAAGGCGGCGTTTTCAAAAACGTCGCCGCAGTTTTAAGCTGCCCCAAACAGACCCATAAATGCTGATTTTATCACCCGCAACTGTTTTTTATCTGAAGTGAAGGTTTTTGTCATCAGAATAGTTTGAACGAACTGTGATTCTCTGATCCCCGGTTTCTTTTCTGGATAAGCATGCTGCTAATCTTCAACTTAAAATTCTTGATTTGCAGTTTGAATGGGCATGGCAGCACCCAACAGAATCCCTAGCCGTTAGAAAGGCAGCTTCAAGTTTTAAATCTCTGGCAGGCTTGGCTAATAAAATTAAACTTGCCTATACGATGCTCACCCTCCCCTCCTGGGAAAAGTATGCTCTGCAATTCTCTCTCTTCTTTCTATAACAAATTACCGCTCTTTCCTTTTTTTCAATTAACATTTAAGTATAAGAATTTGTTCTTTCTTTCTTTTTTATCAGCTTAAGCCTCACAGTAAACTTTCTGTCAACAAAATACACAAAACATATAGCTGGTTGTCCAAAGTTGCCAAATCAAATGAGATTCAACATTTGTTCCATGGATGATCTTCCTTGCTATGTTGAAGGACATAATTTACAGTGCAGCAATGATGATTATGATGAAGATGATGGAGAAAATTTATCAACCTATGATTGCGAACAACAACCTTTGCAAATAGAGGAACTCCAAAACCTTCCCGAGCCTTCAAAGTCTGCTGAAGAATACTATGGAAACTTATCCTTTAGTTCCAGGATACTGCTACAGGAGTTAAGTGAGTTTAGTGATCTTTCTCAGTCCCCTAAAAGAGTTACTGAAAGCAGAAGAAGGGCTTCAAGCAGCTTAAGCCCCAATTCCTGTGGTGAAAATGGTGAAATGGAACAAGTGAGGCTGAAATCCACTCCAAGAAGTTCTGATAATTTTCTTTCTCCCGAAGTCAACATGATAGACTTATGCACACCATCCAGTGGCATTATTCGATCGAAGACGAAGCGAGCTTTGTTTGACTCGATGATAATTGATCTAACGGATTCGCCGATGGTTATCCAGCTTTAAAGCTCAATAACTGAACATGTTCCAGCACATTACTGCTTGTATTGTGTTGCATACATCCAGGTATTCTTTACTGTTGAATTTAATTGCTACATTGTTTATGGATAAATCCGTCTTATGTACTTGAGAAGTTAAAGAAATTAACATTCAAAAATAAGGGGGGTGCATGTTATTTTATCATAAAATATATTCAATTGAGCTTTGTCTTATGCAATTTTTTTAGTTGAAATTTCTTAGAATGAAATTTAGAACCATCCAAATTCAAATTTTAGCAGACTTTCAAGTCAAACAAAGAGCCTGAATTAGATAAATAAGATAGCATTAAAAGTGATTAGATCCAAGTTTGAATGAGACGAAATCAGGAAAGTATAGTTAAGGGATTTAATTGAAGACTTATTAGGGTTTGATTGTAAATTTTTTATTACAACTTTGATTCAATATTATTTAGGAATTCTAAGTCATTATTGACTAGGATTTCAAATTCTCTTGAAAGAAATGTCTACCTATTCCGAAAAACAATCTTAGTAGTAGTTTAAAGTCAATCTGCAATTGACAAGACAACTACTAAGACTGCAAGTTTAAGAAAATTTGAATGGAGGAGAAGAGCAGCAAAAAGGCATATTTTAGAAATTTGGGTGTTCTTTTAAAATATAGTAAAATGTAGTTATTGATAAAGAGAAAAATATAATTATTGTGTTAAGATAAATATGCAATAAAAAATAGCATCATACCTTGGATAAATATGCATTTTAGGACTCATTATTATGGCTAAGCATATGATAAAGTGATGTGAGGCATCATTGGCATCATCATCATTATCATCCTAAAGTCTAAGTTTATGTGCTAAAAATGTATATGGTTATATTTTGAACCCTTGCATTATTAGAGTTTTATATCATGATGTTGTATTTTTGGGTCTATATGTATTTGTTGTTGGGCTTTTGTGTTATCATGTTATACATTGAGCATATATATCAAGTCATTTCTCATTTCTCATTTCATTCCCATGGCGAGATTTCATGCTATTAGGATCGATGGAATGTGTGAAGGTAAGTATGATAGCGATGATAAATGTTATAATGATGACATTATGAAGATAATGTGGGTTGGTAAAAGTTTGGCCATGGATTTAAATTTGAAAGTATATTTATATGAGTCAACTGACAAAGTCAAGGAACATGACTACTTTAAAAGGTGACTCGTGGAAGATGACCAGAGGGCAATGGTGATTGCTTAGGGCAACATTGAAGGCATTTTTTACCTGGTCAATGAGATGAAAAATTTCATTGATGTGACTGGAATCAAGATGGATGCAGGTCTATGACACTACAAGTTTGGCCATATAAGTGAGAAAGATATGAAGTCTCTATATTCAAAGCAACAACTTCAAGATTTAAATTTTTCAGATTATGATTTTTATGAAGATTATGTATATGATAAGTAGAAGAAAGTTTCTTCTAATGTGGGCCAATGGTGCAACCAAAAAAGTTGGAGTTATTGGGGTCCTGCTCTAGTTCAACCCATTTGAGATTCCCACTGTCTTATCCTATTTATTGATGATCACACCAAAATATATATGTGATTACTTCTTAAAGTAAAAAATCTAGTGTATTTAAAGTCTTTAGAAACTGGAAACCCATAGTAGAAAGTTAGACAGACTTATAGCTGTAGTGTCTTAGATCAGATAATGGAAGTATCATGATCAGAGGTTCATGAATTAATATGCTTTAGAGGGGATCAAGCATGAGTTCACTGTTCAAAAAACTCCACAGTGGAATGGAAAATTTATTTACTGCAAATCTAGCCCATAGTATTCTCTTCCTTGTGTTCCGCTTCCTTGTGTTCCGCTTCTATGCGTTCACCTTCCTTGCGTTCCCCTTCTCTTTTATGCACAAGAGAGAAAGACAATAAAATAATTAAATGTGACGTATCTCGTAGTGTACTATGCCCTTCTCCGATGTCTTGATGAAAAGTCGGCGATGTGAGTTTTAGATGTTGCATATACGATGCCAATCCCTCGTGCCTTGGCAAAAAAATCGAGTCCGAAGTGTCGGATGCCGTTTTTAACAATAAATTGATAGATATCCTTACTAGTCATGATGACCTTTTTTTATAGCTGCTCTCGAATAGGTGTGTTGGACCTTCCTTTTGAGGGGAGTGAATATAATTAGATTGGTCGGTGGGCTCAAACAACAACTTCAACAGGCGAGCTCGATATAGTCACTTCGACATGTGAGCTCGATTATGAGCTCGTTTCAGCCACTGTTACAAGTGAGGCCCAATTCAACCACTTTAATAGGTGGGCTTGGTTAAATCACTTCGACGGGAGGGCTCGATCCAACCACTTCGGTAGGTGGGTCCGATCCATCTACTTTGGCAGGTGGGCTCAACTCAGTCATTTCAACATGTGGACTCTATTCAATAAGAAAAATAAATAAAGTTTATATATAGATATTTAATTTGATTTTGCCGACTAAAGCATGAACCAATTCAATGGCGGGTCCAACTCGTCCGCTAGTAGATCAACTTGTGTGGCTTCAAATTATTCAGAAAAAAGGAGAGGTCCAATCCAACGTGAAGCCTTGCTGGTTCTCATTAACTTCCTACTTTCATAACTATTTTCTTCCGTTCTACGAAAGCTTATAATTGCTCTTCTAGCCCTTGGAATTCACTTCAATTAAAGTTGAAAGAACAAATAATTCAAAAACAATACAATTCCTATTAAAAAGTTAATAGTGATACAATTAGGAGTGAATGCTAAATTTTTATTTAACATTTTATTATCATATAATACATTAAAATTTTAGTTCATAAATTTAAATACTTAATAATAATTTAATATTAAATATATTTTTAATTTAATAAAAAAAATTTTAGAATAATTTTAAAGTTTTTTAAGAGAGTTGAAAACTTAAAATTTAATAATCCTCATTCATCAACCTTTAATTTTTAATTTTATCACCCTCTCCTAAATTTCTTTTTCACCATTCAATATATATATATATATATATACATTGTCACTCTAATAAATTTTATCATCCGTCATGATTCTCGAGATTGACACAAATCTCACGATAATTTTTGAGTAAAAAACATTTAAACTTTGATTAAATGTCATTTAGAATTTCAATTTTAGTTAACATATGGTCAAACTAACGGTTCGACGAGGCAAATGAAATAATAACCAAATTTATCCAATCCGAGTCAAATTAAACCCCAATCAAGCCATTAAACAATATTTAGAAAATTTTTAGACATAATTGAAGGGTCAAATAAATTTCAAATCTAGCAAATTTATAGTCAAATCGAGCATCTCAACAAGATGAATACAACATACCCATGATCACTCCATTCTGACATCAATAATGGACTCAAATTTCCATCAAACGTTGCTCGATCAACGGGATCTCTCTGAGACTTCCGATAAATAGAGGTACGAATTCGTTCCTTATTTGCAAGTTGGTGTCTCATCTTCTTTTGGAGAAGGGGAAGTTGAAGCTTAGGATCCTACATTGACGATCCTGTGTACACCTCTAATTCTTGTAGTCGCCGCCCTCCAATTAACTTTGATAGCCGTCGCCGCCTTTGGTCAGCTTTGTCCGCCGCAACCCTTAAGCCAGCTCTTGTTGTTGCCACCCTCAATCATTCTCTGGTGACCACCTCCTCCAACAGTCCTGGCTGCTGATGCCGCCTTACGGCCAACTCCGATCGATTTATAACTTTAGAAACAGTCCAATATCATTATATAGTTGATTTTGAGACAATAAGTTTTTAACATTTTATCAACTAATGACAGTAACTGGTTGTTTTAAATTATTATATTTCTCGAACTTCAAAAGTTGAACAAATCATAATGAGGCCTATAATATACTAACCTATGGCAATTAATCACTTGGGGTATATCGAATATGGAGGCAGAAGCCGGCCATTTGCCAAGGATTTAAGACATTTTCAAATAGTATTTTAAAAGCTAATTTGTTATGCTCTAATGTCTAACATATTAATTAAAAATAGAATGAAGATTCTCAAAATATTCCATTTGAGTTCTCTCCTTGCTGCCAAAAAATAAAAAGAGGCTAGTCTGTCAAATTTCCAATGCAGCAAATTCTGGTGTAGTCTGTGCTATAAATTACTTAATGCGTGATAGGAAATTTAGCGGTGGTAGAGTATAAGATTATCGTCTTAGCGAGATATGAAAATTCAACAGAAACTTAGAAAAAAGAAAAATTAATAATGATACTAAAAATTTTTTTAGTGGAAAACCTAAAAAGGGAAAAATCACTAAGACTTACCCAGATAAAGAGTTTCACTATAAAAAAATAATTATAGTTGCAACCACTTTTCTCACAGATTGGAAAGAGTTACTTAGTTTTCTAAGTTACAACGCCGATTGAAATCAACCAATAGTAATTGGTAGTGTTGATCAGTGGTGTTCGACGATAGTTGGCGGCGATTGATGGCGGTCGATGGTTGTCGACAACTGTCAGCGGTTGTCGACGGCTGTCAGCGGTTGTCGACGGTAGTTGGTGGTGGTCGTCTGCGGCGGTTGGTGGTGGTTAACGACGGCATGAGTGGTGTTGAACTTCAGTTTCTTCTCAATACTTCAATTTCTTTCTCAAGCATCAAGCTCCCATCTTCTCTTGTGAGAGAGGTGGAACTCTATTTATAGAGTGTTGTGTGTAATATAAATCACTTTGATCGAACGTCCTAAAGAGATTATCTCGATCAAACAAAATTAGATAGACATTTGAGTATTTTAATGACATCAAAATTTAGTGGTATTTGACTCGTTTGATTCGTCTTGTCGAAACACTTGATTTAACTATAAGCTTAACCAGTATAACATTTGTTTGACCTTCAAAATATGTTCAAAAAGCTTCTAAGGGTAGTTTAATGGCTTGAGTTGAACTTGATATGACTTAAATTTGACCAATTTTGATGTCATTATCTGTCTCGTTGAGCCGATCAGTTTGACTGTAAGTTTGCTGAAATTGGAGCTCTCGATGATTTTTAATCCAGTTTGAATATTTCTTGATCAATATGTTGCATCGAGATTTATATTATGCCTCGAAATTTATGTTGTTTGATGGAAATTTATGGTGAGAGCATCAATGCTTTATTTTTTTATTAAATCTTGCTTTTAAAAACTATTTTTCATATGCACTTATTTTAGCCGACAAAAATAAAAAGTATTTACTCTATGTTTGCCTCAAATTTATTACTTTCCAACGATTAAATATTTGTATAAGAATTAAGAACTAGTAAAACGCATTATCCGGCACTAACCGTGTCGTCTCGATCAGAACCAGCTCAACCCGCGGCATCGCATTGTTCGCCGCCTATAAAAACCCCCAGAAGCTCTTGAAAAGGAAGACTCGGTAGCCTACAACAAAGCTTTCTCATGGCGGAAATCACCGCCGCTTCTTCCTCCTCCTCCGTTGTACCCTGTTCCTTTTTTAGTCCGGCGCTCACCTCGGAGACTCCATCCGACATGGACCTCATCCGATCTCTCCTCCGGTTGTCCCACGAAATATCCCTCTTCGACGCCCCTTGCCCGATCCTGATGCGTCACCACTCTTCCATCGCCCGTAAATCCAGGCTGCTCGCTATCCTCTTTGATGAACTTCTCCTCCAACAAGACCCTTACACAGACGTCATCAAGCTTCCCCGGTCGGCCTCCCTCTGTTTCCACGAGATCTTCGTCGTTCTCCAGCGATTCAAATCCCTACTCACCGAATGCTCCTCTCGCAGTAGAATGCGCTTTATTCTGCTCTGTGATTCCCTAGCCAACGACTTCTACGAGCTCACCCTCGACCTCTCTACTCTTCTCAGCATGCTCCCCATCTCCGATCTCCGCCTCTCTGATGACGTCCGCGATCATGTCGATCTCCTCCGCTGCCAATGCTCCAGGTCAACCCCCACCGTTGATCCCGACGTCTCTGCCCTCCGCCGGGAGATTCTCGCCATCATCCACGAGATCGAGCTCGAGATCGTCCCAGATCGCTCTCGTCTCGCTGCCATCCTCCACAATCTCGGCCTCAACGATTCCTCGAGCTGCCGCCGGGAGATTGAGTGCCTCGAGCGAGAAATTGGCGAAAGGGTCTCGGACAAATGGACGCCTGCGATGATTTCTTTTGTGGGAGTCGTGCAATATGCCAAGTGCGTGCTCTATGGCGCCTCCACTCCGAGATCGGATTCCCGCACCGGAAAGCTTTACTTCGCCGGCTTTGATTCCGGTAGTTCTCCCGCTGGTGGCGCGCCGCCGGATTTTCGATGCCCAATATCTCTCGATCTGATGCATGATCCTGTTGTCGTGTCTAGCGGACAGACGTTCGATCGGGAATCAATCGCCCGCTGGATCAGCGCCGGCCACATCACCTGCCCCAGCACTGGCCAGACTTTGCGGCACACAAATCTCATCCCAAACCGAGCTCTCAAGAACCTCATCTCCCTCTGGTGCCGGGAACAGAACGTTCCCTATGCTCTTTACGGGCCCGGCGAACCTGCCGTCTCCGGTGGCTCGGAGAACAAAGCCGCATTGGAAGCTGCTCGGATGACCGCAGCATTCTTAGTCCAGAAGCTATCTTCATCGCCATCAACAGAAACGACAATCCGCATCGTACACGAGCTCCGTCAGCTTGCCAAAACCCAGTCCGAGAACCGAGCCTTCATCGCAGAAGCCGGCGCTGTTCCTCTTCTCCTCCGCTTCCTCTGTTCCAACGATCCCTCCTTACAGCTCAACGCGGTCACCACCCTTCTCAACCTCTCCATTCTTGAATCCAACAAGAGACGAATAATGCGAGCCGACGGAAGCCTCGATGCCGTGATCCATGTTATGTCTAATGATGGAACCTGGCAGGCAAAGGAGAACGCTGCAACTCTGCTTCTTAGCCTAACCTCAATCCATTCTTATCGGCGACGGATTGGGGAGAACCATTCAGCGGTAGCGGAACTGGTAAAGCTAGTGCGCAATGGGCCCGTGAGCACGAAAATCGATGCAATGGTGGCAATACTCAGCCTTGCCCGCGACAGGAAGAACGCCCCGTTGTTGGTGGAGGAAGGGGTCCTGGAGGCGGTACTTGATGCGTTTGCGTTTGAGGAAGCTGCTGAATCAGCGACCGCAGTGATCACAGCCCTGTTAAAGCGTGGCGGAGCGCTGGCAGTTGAGAAGTTGGAGTCAAAGGACACGGCGGCAAAGCTGGTGGGAGTTCTCCGGCGGGGAACAGATGGGGCTCGGGACAATGCGGCGGCGGCGTTGGTGGTTCTGTGCCGTCATTCGGGTGGCGGAGTGGTTGCGGAGGTGGTAAGGAGGCCGGGGATTGAGATGGTTATAAGGGAAATGATGGGATGCGGAACGGAAAGGGGCCGGCGAAAGGCTGCGGCGCTGGGTAGGATTTGTCGGAGATGGGTTGCAGGATCTCAACAGGGGCCATTGCAACGGGATATTGAGTTGGCAGATGGTGGTGCCGGCTTGGAGGACATTTAGAGAATAGTTTTTTGGCAATTGTATATATTTAATTTAAATTCTTTTTTCAATTCTTAATATAATTTACAGGAAATTTGCATAAATATCACATAAAAATTATTTACATATATCTAAGATGTAAAAGCTGACATTTTCATTTAGGCTAAATTTTCTAAAAAAGCATTTTTTATCTCTATGATAATTATTCCCTATTCCTGTGCAAAACATTTAAATACATAGCACCCAATTCAGATGTATTTACATGCATAGTCGGAATGTATTAGTTGTAAAAATTGGAGCTTAGGCGTTAGATATGTAAAAACATAGGAATTAAGCGGTATATATGTAAATCGTCATGGTTTACATGTAAACAATTGCCTTTTAGGTTTTGATATGTGAAAACATAAGAGTTAAGTGTCATGTATGTGAATCTTAGTGGCATATATGTAAAAAATGTAAGTTTGGATATGTAAAAGATAGGAATTAAGCTGTATGTATGTTAGTCTTAACAGCGTATATGTAAAAGTAGGTGTTGGATATGTAGGTGGTATGTATGTAAATCTCCCATTTATGTTTTACTTCACGCACATTTGCGTGCCAACGCAGGGAACATGAAGTTCGTACACGGGTGGTATTTTGTCTCGATAAATCTCAGAGTAGTCACCTAATAATTTCTCAAACAAATATGCAGTTAAACAACAAATATATGTGAATTTTCCATAATAATAATAATAATAATAATAATAATAGCATTTTTTTCTAATTTTCCCATTCTCTTGTAAGTTCATCCTTTTCAATTTCTTCAAGTCAAACCTAACCAAATTGATATGATAAAAGAAATTGAATTGAAAATAGCTTTCACCAACATATTTAAATGAGAGTAATTCGATTGAATTTAAGTGTTGGATAGGTAAATAGACAAGAAATATGCAGTATGTAGTTATAACAGTAGCAGTTGTCATAAAGGTCGTAGTTGGTTACTACAAAGATTTTAGCTTGACATAAAGACTGTAGTCGGTGACACAATATTGGAAGTTGGTCATAAATGTCATAGTTAGAAGTTTTATCACAAGTAGTTGGCCACGAAGATCATAATTTGGCTACAGAAGTTGTAATTAGGGTCAATGGAGGCTAGTTGTGAATGTTGGCGGTGGTCTGCGGCTATGGAGGTCAGTGGTTTTCGTCGTGTCTTCAATACATGTTTTAGACATAACAATCATATTTAGAAATACAACATTTGTAAGTGGGGGCACCGGTAACCGGTGATCAGTGGGGACAAGCAATGATGACCAACCGTGATCAGTGGTGGCCGACGGACGATGGTTGACGGTGGTCCACTACTACAAAGGTCAATGGTTGATTATTGTGTTTTCATTACATATGTTAGGCACAACAACCATAATTAGAATAATACAGTGGCAAGTAAGTGTTGTCGATCGGCGATAGTTAGTGACAAAAAGAATTGACAATTGGCGGTGATCGACGATAATCGATAGGTGTTGTTCAATGTTGTTCGAGCGCTACGAAGACTGGTGGTTATCGTCTGGTCTTTACTCTAGAACAAGTTATGAAACTCTTACTATTCTCCTCCTTTTTATCATCCCCTTTCAAGTGAAGAGATGCGGTCTATTTAGACTTTTGGGTAGGGTGTACTTTGGTCTTTTGATGCGTAACTTTGAAACTGTCTGATCTGAATATCCATATTAAACCTCACCCCCATGCCCCCGCAACAAGTGAGATTTCAAAGCTAAGCACCTTTTTTATTGATTTCGAAGTACACCTCATCTACATTGGTGCCTCCATACAAGCTTAAACCCAAATATTTTATAATTTATCCAGTGGTTGTGATTCAATTGCTATGTAGTAGGTAGCTTTGCATGCAAAGTCAAAAGCCATCCACCTCATATAGGATTTGGATTTGGATGGGCTAGTAGAATTCCCACTACAATACCTTCTTGGTTACAATCACTCTTGTTGATAAGTTAAAAAGAGCCTAACAATTTTGTATTTTAAAGAACAATTACTAGCTATGATGTGGGTATAATGAGTTGATACAAACAATGACTTCTGATAGAGTTCCAACAAGAGCAACCACACAACAAGACATAGCCCTAGATTACACCATGTTCATGTTGCCCTAATGGTTAGTCCATCCCAAATCTGGGCATAATGCCACAATACAGGTTGCAGGATTCGTCAAAAAGTCTCCACTTGCTATCGATTCAATTGTCTAACTTCCTAGATAAAGAAGTTAAAATAATGCATACATTTGATCATGTTATGCTTTAAAAATAGGTTAAGTATGTAGGAGACTATCCCTTATAAATAATAGTAGGATAATTACCTGTTATGTTCTATTCCCATTGTGTTCTTGTCTTCCTTTTTAATAGATTTCGGGCATGCCCTGTGGTGCGTTACAATAAAATTTCATCCGACTTCAGAGCTTTGATGGCCATCATGGACCACTTAATGGGTATACACTCATCAATTTCACATCTCATTTTGGCCAACTGTAGTCCAATAATCACAAAGTAATTAGCAACATGTTAGTTGTCATGACATGCCATTATTCTTAATGACATCCCCATAAGAAGAACCAACTCATTGAACATCTTCTCTATCAATTAACAACCAAGTCAACTCTCCATGCTTTTCCATAAGGAGGTTACAACAGCCTATATTTTGGACAATGCCAGCCAAAGTGAGTGGGAGGTACATAATTAACAGCTTAATTTTTAATTAATTAGTCTAATTATTTATTGTTGCTTTTCACGCGATTTTGACCGAAGCTGGCATGCCGTCCTGCCAGTTGCCTGAGATGGTAAAGCTTTATTATTATTTTGGGACATTTACACCAATTTTTATAGATTTACAGATCTACCACCTACATTCTTTTTGTTTCATTTTTACCACTCCAATAATTCATGTCACATAAAAAATATCACCATAATACATTTTTTTTTTTTCGTGCGAAAGTATAGAGGTATGTATGTATAAATCCGAGACGTGCGAAAGTATAGAGGTATGTATGTATGTATAAATCCGAGATGTACCGAAATTTCTAGCTACGAACCGAGGTCTAGGTCTAAATTTCAGCGCATCTCTGATTTATACACCACCAATTCTCATGAACAAAAAAAAAAAAACTATTGGATGCCACATCAAGTTACGAACGATACAACTAAGATGATGATGTTAAAATAGAGAATTTCAATAATATTAGTTGCGACATTGACCAGTTCGATCGTCGTTTCAATATACATCTGGCTCAAGCGTCATTTCACTCAAGTTTAGAAGATGATTTAACTTCGTAAACATTATGTTATGAGCATATTTTAATGTGCAAAATATATTATGAATTTTGTTTATTATTATTTAAATTTTTTTTCATAGATATTTTCTACTAGTAGGATTTATTAACTAGTACACCTCCCTCTTAGTTATAATATTATAATTAATATTATAATGATATATATAGGATAATTTAATATATTGATAATTATAAGGCCGTGATAATTTAGACCAAGAATAAATTGATTAATTTAATATTATTTAAACGTTAGTTAATGTAACTAATATCTAATTAAAACTTAAAAAACTAATTAACATAATATATAATATATATATTTATAAATTAATTATAATAACATGTAATATATATTAATATATAAATTAATTGTAATAATTTATTAATATATATTAAAAAACTATTTTTAATACTATTTTATATGAAATGCCTCCAAGGGAATTATAGTGAGCTCATTTTCATAATTGGGTGTTTATAGATCATATTCGTTTGTGCTTCTTCATAGATTTGTTTTATTATTCTTTCCCCTAAAAAAATTAGGTCAAATTATTAAAATGAGCACCTATTTTGATAGTTTAGGGAATAAATAAATAAATAAGAGAAGGGGCATAAATGCCTCTAAGGTGGCATTTTTATAAAAGTGCTTTTTAAAGTTCCTTTAATATATATTAAAAAATTATTTTTTTAATAATATAGTTTATCATAAATGATTTAAATATTAGTATATATTAAGATTATTATGAATAAATTAGCTAATTAATTTTTACATTAATGAAAATATTAAATTTATTTAGTTATTTACTACATTAATTAATGTTTGATTAATATTAAATTAATCTTAAAATATAATTGAACAAAATAAATTAAGTAACGATATATGAAATTCATAAAATTTATTTTATATGAAAATATTCTCGTAAGATTATGTTTACAAAAAAATATTATCTTCTAGTCAGGATGGAATGACACTTGAGCCCAATGTATATCGAGATGGTGGTTGCAATGCTCGATGTCGCACCTGATGTTTTTGAAATTCTTCTTCAACGTCATCGTCTTCTGTCGCATTATTCGTAGCTTATTGCGACATTTAGTAATTTTGTAACGGGAACTTGTACCTATAATCAATAGAGCAAAATTTGTGTCATTTGGCCTCTAATTTCTTGGATTTCCTGTTGCAAAAATTATGTGGTACAATCAAATGCTTGAGCTGTCTCCCGGATGAGTTTTTTCTCTGTGGCATGCTCATTTTCTTATTGATGGCATGATCCACAGTCGTCGCACTTTTTAGAATGTTGAATCTAAAATTATTTTGTGAATCACACTGAAATTATAGAGCGTCGATGAATAAAGAAATAGAGAGTAACAAAGAAAGAAAAATGGAGAGAGTGCACAATAAGACGAGTTTTGATAAGGCCAACTCAATAATTATTTATTATAGAAATGAACCTCAATTTATAAATTTGGCAGAACATAGTATAAAATTACACGTTTATAAATACATTAATAGAGAAGTTATAAGGTACTGCTATATTTTCATATTAATAGCCGACTCCCACATGCATTTCGTATTCATAATCACTTTAAGAGAGGCATTTGTGTTGTGAAAAACGACGACAATAAAGTGAAAAATGGAACAAGAAAAAATTTCACGCAAAAAAAACATCATAGCGACACACAGATTTACATGGTTAAGCAGTTTTGCCTATGTCTACGGAGCTCCAGAAGATTTTATTTCTTTGAGAAATTACACCGTCGAGTGTCTCGACGCTTACAAGAAAATCCATATTTTCTTCTCTCCTATCCTCTCTCTCACTTCCTCACTTTCTCTCTTAGAAGACTTGACCTGGCTTTGCTTGGTTTGGCT